AATGAACTTTGATAAAAAGTTTATCTCAATAGTCAAAAACCTTTTTACAAATCAAGAAGCCCACATTCTTGAAACAGAGGAACTATCAAAGGCTTTTAGAATAGAAAGAGGAGTAAGACAAGGAGATCCACTCTCACCTCTTCTGTATATACTCGCTTTTGAACCTTTGCTACTTAATTTAAAAAATAATCTACAGAGTATTAAACTAGACCACTGTTTAGATGCTAGTTTCTCAGAGTTCTTGTTCTTAGAGCTACCTCTTTCTTGTAAATCATTATAGTAGTTTGTTTCAGCTTCTTTGCTCAATAAACTATTCTTATTACTGTCTATTTTTGTTGTATCATCAGTTTCATATGTGTTGTTTGTTGATATATCTTTTTCATTACCAGAACTTGTTGTTATGTTTTCTTTAGCTTTAGACGTATCTCTATTGTTGTTTTTCTCATTTTGCAATAGACGTGTTTTAGCCTCTTCTGTTTCCTTTTCAACCTGTTCATCCTAGCTTTTTAGATTTTTAAAAGTATTTTCTTTCAAGACTTGTTTTCCTTTTTTGCTAGATGTAGACTCAGCTTCTTTGTTAAGTTCTAAGTTTAGCATATTTTCTTTATTTTCTTTAGAATTTTTTTCGTTAGTTAGAGAAGACATTTTTTTTTGTTTTTTTGTTACTTAAGTTGCTCATAACTAAACCTGAGCCTTCTTTTTTTCAGTGTAAGAGCCTTAGCTCTTCCTGTGGTGTTTTGAAGTAGATATTTAATGTCTAGTGTCTTAATTTTGTTTTTTCAGAATTTTACTAGTGATGAACTGGAAAGAGTTTTTTAAACTACTATAATACACTATTATTCAAGTAGATAAGTTAATTTATGAATATTTTTTTGAATCTTATTGTTTTACACAGTTTTGTAACTTCTCTTATTATAATTTTTATATTGTATTCACTGCTTCTTTTTTCTAAAATTCAAACTCCTAGATGTTTAATTGTCTCTGCTTCTCTTTTTGTATATACTATATCTTTGTTTTTTTCTACTTTAATAGAGAAATTTTTTTTTTTATTATCTCTGATGTTAATATCTAGAGGCACATGTGGTGCTCTTTTATTAAGGTTATTGTTTAATTACATTTGAATAGATTTAAAGATCTTTTTAATCTTTTGAGAGCTATTTTTTAAACTATAGTAAAGGGTATGTATGCTATTTTGTAAGCGT